GCTGTGAAGCTTATTACACTCCTAGGGGCAGGCCAGGGAGGGGGAAAGACAAGGAGCAAGCGTGCGAGTGAGAGTGACACGGCAGGCAGCACACTGTACGTAGCTGCCCTGAGAAAGCTTCTAGGGAAGGTGGCAGTGAAGCAGAGAGCTGAAGGAAATAAAGATCGAGCCAGGCTGCCATCTGGGAAAAGAGTGTTCTAAGAGTATGCTTGGTATGTTGGGGTCAGTTGGCTGGGGCAGTATGAAAGTACGGGAGAGCGGCCTGTACTTGTGGGGAGGTGGGAATCACCAAGAACCTCAAAGCCTAGAGTTCAAGACTTTGCCTCTGCTTTGCTTTCTCAGTGAGAACCAGCCACAAGGGGATTCCTGGTAAAACAGTAACACAATCTGCCTTTTGTTTTAGAATAGCGCTGTGCAGAACTTCCTGCAACACTGACATGTTCTACATCTGTGCTGTCTACACAGTGACTACTAACAAGATGTGGCTATTTAAATTAATTAAAATAAAATGTAAAATTCAGTTCTTGCAGCGTAGTAGCCACATCTCAGGGGCTGATGTGGCTTTCACATTAGACAGTGCGGTGTCAGAGATCAGTCTGACTCAGACTTCAGACAGGCAAGTGTTGAACGAAGCAGGGTGAAAAAAAGGCAGGAAGTCATTGCAATAACCTGGACAGAATCGGTGGTGGCTTGGCCAGGGCCTGTGCTGTGGGAGGTGGTGAAAAAGAGTCCGATTTTGAATAAAGGTTTGATGGGAGGTTTTACTGATGGAATGAACGTGGTCACTGAGAGGAGTCACGACTAGCTCCAAGGTCTTTGGCCTGAACTCCTATAGAATGAGAGTGCCATTTACTGGGAGTGTGGGGATGTTTTTGAGGGCAGTGTGGGGTGAGATCAGAAGCTGTGTTTTGAACATATTAACCTGTAAGGCACCCTAGGAGATATGTCCAGTAGTCTGTGGAGTTGAGGAAAAAAGATGTGGGCGGAAGACACAATTTTGGAATTTAGTGCTTAAAGGCATTCCACTGGGTAAGATCACATGGCAGTGACTACAGATGGTGAGGAGAGGTTCAAAGATTGAGATCTGGGGCATTCTGCTGATTAAGTACTGGGAACCTGAGGGGGAGCTTGTAAAGGAGATGGAGATGGAGAGGCAGATGGAGAACCAGTGTAGTAGGTGTCCAAAAGCCAAATGCATAAAGTGTTTCAGAAAGGAAGGAAACTGTCAAATGCTGCTGATAGCGGAGTAAGAAGAGACTGGAGAACAGATCATCATTATTACGCAACAAAAAGATCAGAGGTGACTTCCACGAAAGGGTTAACTTTCACTGTCACTGCCTTACCTGGTCTCTGTACTAGCTCTGCAGATGCTCTCCTTTGCTCTAGCACTCCTGCCATTCAAACAGGTCTTCTATATTACTGCCAGGGTTTTCTTTCTTTCTTTCTTTTTTTGAGACAGGGTCTTCCTCTGTTTTCCCAGGCTAGAGTGCAGTGACCTGATCATGGTTCACTGCAGCCTTGCCTCCCAGACTCAATCTATCCTCCCACCTCAGCCTCCTGAGTAGCTGGAACTTAAGGTGCACACCACCATGCCTGAATAAATAAAAAAAATTTTTTATAGGCCAGGTACAGTGGCTCATGCCTGTAATCCCCGAACTTTGGGAGGCCGAGGCAGACAGACCACTTAGGTCAGGAGTTCCAGACCATCCTGGCCAACATGGTGAAACTCCATCTCTACTAAAAATACAAACATCAGCCGGGTGTGGTGGCGTGCACCTGTAATCCCAGCTACTCGGGAGACTGAGGCATGAGAACTGCTTGAACCCAAGGAGGTGGAGGTTGCAGTGAGCTGAGATCATGCTACTGTATTCCAGCCTGGGAGACACAGCGAGACTCTGCCTCGAAAAAAAAAAAATTAAAAATTAAAAAAAATTTTGTAGAGATCGGGTCTTAACTATGTGGTTCAGGCTAATTTCAAACTCCTGGGTTCAAGGGATCTGCCTGCCTCAGCCTCCCAAAGGGCTATTGCAGGCATGAGCCACTCAGCTGAAAAATCTTTAACAGTATATTGTCTACAGCAGTGGCCAAACTTTAAGTGCACATAAAGATGACATGCAGGTGACTAAGCCCCAAAGCCACCTGTCACAGAAGATTGGCAGAGACCTGGGGACTGTGTCTTTAAGCAGCAGTCCAAATAATGGTTGTAAACCATGTTGACAAGGATTGGCCTCTAGGGCAAACTCCCAAATCCTAAGCAAAACAAGCACCTTTTCCAAATTTGGTCCCAAACTTCTTGTCTAGTTCCTTTCTTTTATATTTTAAGACAGTGTATGTTTCAACAAGCTCTAACTAATTATTCAAATCAGTTGCCTTTCCCCAAAATGCTGTGTTCTTCTAGGTATTATTGCCCCTTGCACATAAGGCTCCTGCTGCTTAGAAGGCACTTTTAATCTGGTGTGCTCAGAAAATTCTGACTCATTCTTCAAGACTCAAACGTCACTGGTAGTGTGAAGGCTCAGCAGATTCCCCAAACTCTGTTAAACATTTCTATACATTTCTCACACTATCTGCTGGCTATTCTATCACCTCCTCCCCGCCTCAACTCCCTCCACCCCCTGCCACCAACTCCAAGAGGCTGTGGAGAGACAGAGATGGCATTTGCTCCATCTGTGCATGATGAAGACATTATCTAATATGCAACAGACATTTAATATCCATGGATGACTGTCAGCCTGATACCCAGCAATACTGTAAAGTGTGTGTATGCTCCAAAGCTTCCGATGACACTGCCATTGTAGAGTGCTGGGGAAGTCAGAAATGGCTCTGTCGAAAGGACATATCACTACCTGGGGCTTGAAGAATGACTGGAACTTAGAAAGACGGAAAGAGGAAGAAGACAGGTGCCGAGGGGACACAGTCCCAGACTCCCAGGCAAGACCTTGGAGAAGCAGTTGGTGGTGGTGACGGGGAGGGTAAGGGAAGGGTATGGATGAACCTGACCTCCCCCACTAAGAAAGATATAGACTCAGAATATTAAAACTAGAATCTGAAATCTATAGATCATTTTAAATAAATAGTTTAAGCCCTGGTCTTAAAGGGCACTTCAAAAAAACAAAACAGGCTGGGCCTGGTGGTTCATGCCTGTCATCCCAGTGCTTTGGGAGGCTGAGGTAGGAGGACTGCTGGAGTCCAGGAGATTGAGGCCAGCCTGGGCAACATAGCAAGACTCCACTTCTACAAAAAAAATTTAAAACTAGCTGAGCTTGGTGGTGTGCATCTGTAGTCCCAGCTACATGGAGGCTGAGGTGGGAGAACTGCTTGACCCCAAGAGTTCGAGGTTGCCACGAGCTATGAATCACACCATCGTACTCCAGTCTGAGTGACAGAGTATCTCCAAAAAATAAAAATACAAAAACAAGTAATAGAAACTGAACCTTTACAACCTGTAAAGGATCTAATGAGCATTCCCATCTTCTTTTACAGGTTGAAACAGACTCAGAGCTTTGTTTATTAAAATAACAGTCTAAGAAGGGACTACGGCCACATTATCAAATCTTCACATGAGCTTATCAGTTATTACTCTATCCTCATGCCTGCCTTCTCACACAGAGGAATGGGGAAAGTGTGTGGCAGACTAACACAAATCTCTCCCCTTTACCCCCAAAAGCAAAGACCATCTCTCTGCACATCTCCTTTGCACATCTCCTACTAAGGGATAGACCTAACTGGTTCCCATGGTACCCAAAGGACTATATCTTACA